GTAGGGAATCAATAGAAAGATGTGTCCTTTTGTTGCTTATTCAAAAAGCACAGCATTATAGGGAACAATCTCAACTTCTTTCTTTCCAACCAGTTTCCAATCAGGAAATTGCTATACTAACCCTTCCCTTAATTGCTATCTTCTATACTCATCTTCGCTGCAGCTAGCATAGGCACCACCCCACACACCTCCACCTTGAGCAACAGGTAGCCACATCTGCCAGTCATGGGGGATTTCAGCAACATAGCTTCTGTTTTGCAGATGTGTTGTCAAACTAGGTTTTCCCATTTCTAATCCAGAAGAAACAATATTTGAATTTCTGCCTATGCAAATCATATTGGCCCAGAACTTAAACCCGAGGTGAGGAGCATTGGTGCCCTTGTGCTGGGGAAACAGATTTGGTACCCCAGCATGGAACATCTAATCTAGTTCACTGGTGCAACGGCATCTCCATGCCAAGATGCCTGTATTTAAGGCGGCTAGCTCAGGCTAGAGACACTGAAGTGACTCTGAAGAAGCAGGACAGAATGAAGAAATCTGGCTGTTAGAAAAACAAACAAATAAAAATCACTTGCTAATGTCGGCAGCTGGAACTGTTTTGAAGCACAGGGGAGCAGAGAGTCAAAAAAGATCATAGTCCAATGTAAGTGAAGAAGCTTGGAAGAACATGAACATGGAAAAGTGGACTCTGGCCCACATACCAAGCTTTACCCTTGTTTTATCTTATATCATTTTCTGCAGTATCCTACATATGTTTTCATCTTGGGTATACCTGTTGATTCCCTGCTGATGTCCACATGCTGGCACTGAAGTCTTCTCCAACATGGACCAACAAAATTCACTCTTGCTGTGGAACCTAGAAGGTGGTGGATGGGCCAAGTGGCAGATAGATTTATCTTCTAAATCTTATTGTCTCCTCCCTGCATTTGTTGCCTTATGAGAGCATCAAGTGTTGCATGTTGTACGATCCCAAGTGAGGTAGGGAACCCAAAGCAGATATAGTATAGATATAATATAGACTAAAAATGCCAAAAAATGGAGAATTTGTGGGGCTGGGGGTTAAAAAATCAAGTAGTATCTAACTGGATTGCATAAACTGGAGTTTTAGAAAGATTGTCTCATCAGGTATCTGCAGCTGGTAAAACCAAAGCATCATGTCCCCTGTTTGTGACTTTGATATCAGCCCCAAAGCAATAGGTTCCTCACTTGTCCTGAGGTTATCATGCAGAGGCAAAGCAAATTAGAAATGAGATGTGACACCTCAAGGTGTCCTCAAGATGTGGTTATAAAGGGCAAAATGGTAGCCACAATTGTGCTATGAAGCTCCAGCACATATCTAAAAGATGAACAGATTGCACTCTTGTGAGGCACCTTTCTCCAGATATTATTAGATCACAACTCTCTTTACTCTAAGATCATTGGGGACTTCTACAGCAAGAGGTTGCTTCACCCCCATACTCAAATCCTTCCTCTTCAGCTCTGTTTTCAATTGATGAGGAAGGTACACATTGCTATTTATTAGCAAGTTTGCCTCTTTTATTATTTTTGTTATCTGAGTCCATCTTGACTCCTAATTACTATAATGGACAAATCAAAACACTTCCTAAGGAGCATTGTTTGGAAATTTGCTTTTCCTCACACATTAGATTAGATTAAAAGAGTTGGAAGGGACATTGTAGGTCATCTAGTCCAACCCCCTGCTCAAGCAGGAGACCCTACCCCATTTCTGACAAATGGAAGTCCAATCTCTTCTTGAAAGTTTCCAGTGATGAAACTCCCACAACTTCCAAAGGCAACTTCTGTTCCATTGGTTGATTGTTCTCACGGTCAGAAAATGTCTCCTTATTTCTAGGTTGAATCTCTCCTTGTTCAGTTTCCATCCATTATTTCTTGTCTGGCCTCCAGGTGCCTTGAAAAATAGCTTGACCCCTTCCTCTCTGTGACAGCCCCTCAAATATTGGAACACTGCTATCATGTCTCTGCTGGTCCTTCTCTTCACTAGACTAGCCATGCCCAGTTTCTGTAACCATTCATTGTATGTTTTAGTCTCTTGTCCCCAATCATCCTGGCTGCTTTTCTCTGCACTTTTTCTAGAGCCTCAACATCTTTTTTATAGTGTGGTGATGCAAACTGGATGCATTATTCTAGGTGTGATCTTATTAAGGCTTTATAGAGTGGCATTAGTTACCTTGCTTGATCTTGATTGTATCCCTCTGTTAATGCAGCTTAGAGAAAGAGTGATTGGGTCAAAGTTACAAGGTGGAGAAGTTGGATTTCCTTCCTCCTAGTCTTCCACCTTAATCACTAGATCAAATTGGATTTTCTATTACATCACATAAGTCCCCTGGAAAAATTTAGAGCATCGGGGGAGTCTTAAATCAGGCAACACAAGCTCAGTTTCTCAGCCTCCCATCATAAGGGGGCTTTCCTTGTTGCAAGATATTACTATAGCCCAGTTGCTGTTGTGAGTGGGTGGAGGTTAAATGTGAAAGCTGTCCCTGATTGGTGCAGCTTACTCTGATGTCACAATGGCTCAAGTGAAACAATGGGGGGGGGGAGTTTTTGACCTTGGTGCCTGTCCTAAAGGTACATCTGGAGTGAAGAAAAGCAAAAAAATAAGTCTTCAGCTTTGTTGTTTCCTGGCATAAACATTTCAAAGGAAATTAAGCAACTTGACTGCATTTTGAGGCACTACTTTAGATTCTTAAAGGCTATTGAAGTCTCGAGAGGCTGACTTAATTCTCAGGTGAGTTAACCCAGAATGGAGTTATAGCCCAGCATAATTTGGAGGACATTGTCTGTATGAAGTTGGCAGGGCCTTAATGCAGAAATGTAGGAGTCCTTCATCCTTTTATTGTCAAGACTTTTACAAGAATGCCCTGCTTATTTTCTGCCAGAATGCTGCGATTGGCAGAGCAGTAAAGATAATTGGGGGAGGGGGAGTGGCAGCCCATTGGATAAAGCATTTGCAAGGTTTAGTGCACCATTTTCAATTATTGAGATGGGTCTATATGGTTTCAAAACTGGGTGAAACACTCTAAGGACAATAGGTCCTTTAGGCCATTCTTCTCCCCATCTTGGGAAATCAGTAGGAAGAGACATGAATGGAATAGAAAGAAGCATTCTGGTCACTTGCTGATGCCTGCAGGTGAAAATGATTTGAAAGGCACCAAAGCAGCTGCTTAAGAAAGAACTAAGATCTCTTTCCTTCTGGATTCATGTTTAGCCAAATTGATATACAGAAAACTGAAGCACAACTTCTGCTTCTCCAGTCTTGTGCATTTCCAGTGGCAGATGGGAACCGTAGCACGATGCAGGTGGAGCAAGTGGGAAAATGTGCTGTATTGGAAATGGAAATGTCCAGCTCTCTCCTTTTGGTTTGTGTGCCCATCCCCACCCTTGTTTTCAACAGGATTTGCATGTGCTCTAATTCTATATGTGGCTCACAAAATAGTGGTGGGTAGCCTATAAATAAAGCCCATACAACAAGGACTTGGTTAAAAGAATTTTAACAACTCAAATAACATGCAGGTTACAATGTACTAGAAAAGTGTCCCCTTTTCAGATCAAAGTCATCCCTTGATGATGATCAAAAATATTAAATTCTTCATAGTAAGAAGCAATACAAAGCTGAATCAGACTGTTCATCAAACCTGGGGTAGCATCCACCGGTGATCAGAGGTCATCAATGATTGAAAGAGATCTGTTTTGGATCCCGCACTGTTTGATTCTTGAACTTTAGGGAAGATTAAACCAATAGGCGTGACTGAACTGTGACCCCCAGTTGTATCTGTTAACAAGGCTAATGGCAATGGATGCTGGGAATTGTAGTTCAGCATGCAGCTAATGAGGCAAAGATTGACCCGGTATTTGCAAGCATGCTCCCTCCATTCATAAGTGGCATGGCTAAAGTAGAAGCATGGATTTATTCCCATTTGGGCTGTCCCACAAACAACTTAGAATTGAGCTTTTGGTGAAGGTGAAGACCTTTCATTCTTTACCTTGTGACACAGTTTGACATTTGTGGATATAACCAAGCAAAAGTATTTAGTTCTTTCTGTGCTGCTATGTTCATCCTATTGCCGTAAAGAGTAGCTATCTTACACCATGCCTATTTCGGGCTTTATCCCAGTGGGACTTAAAATGGCCGTTTCAGTTGTTGTGGGATTGCCAGAACTTGCAAACTGAGTTTAGGTTGAGAAAGCTGGAGCCAAAACTTAACACAAACCAGGTTTCTGTCACGATGCTTGCAGGCAAAGCTCATCTTCTCTTATGCAATCATTCCATCTTATACAAGAATTTGAAAGCAGTTGGCACGGGATCCAGACACGGTCTTCTTCCTGCAGCCTTCCCTTCCCATCACTCCCTACCACCACCGCTCCCCCCCCTCCCCACTTCTTACAAGCCAAAAGGCACCAGAGGAAAAGACGGCAAAATGCCCAATGGTAATTTGCAGCTCTACAAGCCATTCTCAGCTGGAATAATACGGTGCCAAAAGGGCCATTTTTGAAAAAGTTCTTACTCTTGTGAAAAAGGCTCCTTTAAAAAAAAAAAAAACCTTCGTTCACAGCAGACTTTCGGATTCTCCTTTTTGTGCTCTGCCCTTCTGGTGGTGAAGGGGCAAGGGGGCTCCTATTTTCCCCATTATGTCATCCTCTGCTGTTCTGCTGCTTCCAGATTTATTTTTTTTAAAAAAACCTCATGGGAGAAGGACTCCCCTGATGCCTCCCCTTGGGATGGAACTGAAGCATGGGAAGCCAAGCAGATCCCACATCACTGGAGAAATGATGCCATTACGGGGGACTGAATGCTTGCAGATGTCCTTCGGAGATCTCCCTACAATTCTAGGTAGTCCCCCTACATATCCGGTTCCACCACAAAACCGCGGTAGACAAAAGCGCGCTCGACGAAAGCGCGTACNGGGAGGAACTCCATTCAGCTTGGCCCCAACACCTGAAGGTTGACATTATAACCACTTCCTTTATTTTCAGGATACTTACTTGAGACTTCCCATTCTGCTGTTCCCTTTCTGATTGCATTGCCAAATCCTCCTCTTCGGTGACGGTGAACTTTCCTTTGTAAAATTCGCTCACCTTTAACTCCAACTGTAATGTCTCTTTTTTCAATTTTTCAAAGCTGGGTAAAGGTTTGGCAGCTGTCCCAGAGTCCTGGAAAGGCAAAGACTGATCTAGGCTGTTTAAAGTGTGTTCTTGGGGTAGAGCTTCACTGCTACTAGCATTTTCCAAATCATCTTCATCAAGATATTCCTTGCCAGAGTCCTTTGGTTGGGTGTGCTGCAGTAGATGACTGGGGGTTCTGCAAGAGCCATGGAGAAGCTTTAGTGTCTCTTCACTTCTCCATTCAGTAAATGTCTGCCAGAGGCTCTCTAACAAGCTATCTTTGGCCGCAAGGGAGTCTGCTGGACCTCTGTCAGTCAGTTTTGATTTAGCAAGTAACCTTTTAAATTGGTCTGCCCCTTTTTGGCTCACTCCCAGAAACACTACCTGGGAGCATCTAGGGCTATTTCCAAGATTTTCAGAGACCTGCACATTTTCAAGAACGTTCGGAGAATGGCAATGTTCTTCCCCCTGAATAGTACCAGGAAAGCCACCCTCTTCTTGTAGAACATGTGATCTGCCTTGGTTTAGTTGGGCTGAAGTCTCATCAACCGTATCCTCTGGGGTGAAGAGTTGAGGCTCGGCTCTCTTGGTAGGGCTTTTTTTGAGGATGCTTTTGAGGGGTTTCCCGGCCAATTTCTCTGTATTTGAGAGATTCTCTTGTAGAACAGAGGAAACAAACTCCTGCTCAGCATCACTGTTGCTTTCACTGCCTGAGTTAGAGTCGTGATGGATTTCTGCAGGAGTAGGGTTTTCAATGTCTAAGGCTTCAATTCTTTCGCCGACTAATTTTATTTCCTTCCCATAGTAGCCACTGTCAACACAAATAAAAATGACAATAAGATATGCAAAGACGGTAATAAATAAAATGTCTGCTTTAAAGAAGCATGTTCCTTGACTGAACGCCACAAGTACATTGTGCCCCGGATGAAGGCCTACTTTCTTCTGTTTAAAGAAGCGGGAAATACATGTGGAAGTCAGATACGCCATCATCCGACCTGCCCTTCCTTGGGTTTCCTGTCATAACTATAATCTACAGCCCTATGTTTAGGCCGGCTAAAGGAGAGGAAGCAAAGACCATGCTGCAGAACAGATTACAAAGAAGAGCAAGGAGGAAAAGAAGGAGCAAATTTGGACCTTTTCTTGTTAATGTAGCAATTTTTTAAAAATCTGCCATTTAGCTAGTTTATACAAACTCTCTCTCTCTCCCACTGTGATGTTCCCACTGTGATGTTAGATAGTTGAAGTTGATGCTGGCTTTAAGTAGTTTGGTTATTTTAATTTAAAATAATTATGAAACTGGACTGTAAAGTTAAAGAGGTTTTTTTTTTAAAAAATTAATATCTATTTTTCCTAACAAAAATCTTTAATCTTACAAATTGGAAAAAAAATTAAAAATACTAACCGAAGATACAAAGTACAAAAGAAAAAACAAGGCATTTTCTCACTAGTGCAATAAGAAAAACATCATCAATCTGGTTCTGTCCATTTCAAAGAGTAAGAGTAAGGTGGCGCAGTGGTTAAATGCAGCACTGCAGGCTACTGCTAGATCAGCAGGTCAGCGGTTCAAATCTCACCGGCTCAGGGTTGACTCAGCCTTCCATCCTTCCGAGGTGGGTAAAATGAGGACCCAGATTGTTGGGGGCAATATGCTGACTCTCTGTAAACCGCTTAGAGAGGCCTGAAAGGCCTATGAAGCGGTATATATGTCTACTGCTATTGCTATTATTGCTATTTTCCTTTCCTTCACACTGCTTTTCTTTTCTTTTCTTTTTGTAAGTATAACTTATATTTTATTGTCTATATAGTACATAGACACAGTGGCAGATGCTTAAATAAATAATTTGGCCTCTCAAACATCAATAAGCCATCGTTGATAAAAACTTTAGAGATGTAAATATTAAAATTTTATTAAATAAAATAGGTTTGAGATGGAAGGAGTACTGCCAAATTGCTGAGTATAATAAGATGTCTGGAAATTAAATTGGGTAAATTTAATCTTTAAACTCTGCAGACCTTTATAAAAATTTCTCTAATGGCCTTTATGTGAAATGCTTTAAGTGGAAGGATTATTGCAAAATAAATTTGGTTTAGGGATTTCTTTTAACTATTATTGAGAAAAAGGAAAAATGATTGCAAAATTTTTAAAATTCAAACTGCCTCCAGCTGAAATGCTGAGTTTTGAGTTCAGATTCCTTTTTTTTTAGACTTACTACCAGTGCTTCAATGCTATTCTGACTTTGAAACCTAGCTGTTTCAAGCAGGAGCTGTCAACATAAAATGCTTTCAGTAAACTTTGGATAACCTGTTTTGATATAAAATCAGGCTTTTTTTAGGATCAAATATATATTGAACATGAAACATTTTGCACAGGAATACAAAGGAGTTCTTTTATGATTTCGAAGTCACATAGTCACAGCACCCAAGACTCAACTAATCAATCCTCCAGAACTTAGCTTTAAGCAAGAGACCATGCAAGCTTTTATTAGGAGAAGCAACATTGAAGAATAATTACCAATTATGGTTAAAAATGCTTTGCTCTGTTTGGTGAATAACAACAACAACTACTACTACTATTACTACAGCAGCAGCAGCAGCAGCAACAACATTCTATCTCTGGGTAACTAGAAATTTATAACTGAAAATCTCTAAAATCCTAAAGAATTTATCCCTGTACTAGCATAGGCTATCAGTTGTCTCTATCTAATTTGCCCCTTCTGAGAATAAATCAGGTTCCACCACAAAACCGCGGTAGACAAAAGCGCGCTCGACGAAAGCGCGTACGTGACGTCATCACAGCGCGACGAAAACATCGCGCTGTGATCGATAAATGTAAAAATAAAGCGAAAACCTTACCCTAACCCCCCCAAACCTAACCCTAAACCTAACCCTAAATCTAACCCTAAACCTAACCGTTAACGTAACGCTAAACCTAACGCTAACCCTTAACCTAACGCTAAACGTAACCCTAACGCTCTAAACCTAACCCTAACCCTTAACCTAACCCTAACACTAAGTCTAACCCTTACCTTTATGTGAATCGGCTTGCTTTAATTTTAATTTTATTTCAATTTTTAATTTTTTTCGTCGCGCTGTGATGACGTCAAATGCGCGCTTTCGTCGAGCGCGCTTTTGTGGACCGCAGTTTTGACGGGTCACGAATAAATCATTCTACTTATTATTTGAATGAGTCAATTCATCCCCACACAGAAATTCAATGGAACTACCCATGTTCACATTAAAAAAACCTGTCTAAAATCACTCATTCTCCAGTATTTGGAGTGCTAAATGGACTGTCTATGGAAAGTCTCATTCATCCAGATCATCGTTGTCCCAAAGGTGTTTTTTCAAGAGGCAACTGAACTTTGTGGTTTTTTTCTTTGAAAACATTTCGCTTCTCATCCAAGAAGCTTCTTCAGCTCTGACTGGATGGTAGGGAATGGAAGGATTTATATGCCCCTTGCAGACAGCTGGTCATTTGCCAGCTTTTTCATTTGCCAGAAGGTGCCAGTTACCCTTCCTTTTTTGCTTTGAAAACCATGATTTTAATACACTGGTTTTAATCCTACTTTACAGATTTAGCAGCCCTATTATTTAATCAAAAAGCGCATCAAAAAAACCCATTGCCACAGATTTCCCTCCTCCACATTACACCGCTAGAACAGTATGTACCATGAATTGGCTTTGTATTTTAAATGCAGACAAGAAGGACTTCTAGCAAACACAGCCATTCTATTAAAACACACAGATTGCAGATACAGCCAAAGCTTGCTTTAAAAAACACACACACACACAGCACCAAATGGACCTATTTATTTAATGGATTATCTAAAGATGTAAACAAGCTTTCAGCACATATAATTGGCCCCGTTTCTTTTGCAAAGAAAGCCATAGACAAAAACTGCTGCAGCGGACTCAAAAGCAAACACTCTACTTGTGTCATGTTTCAACAGGTTCAATTACACCACTAGGACCAGCTGAAAATCATACAGATCAAACAGGCTTTTCAGACTGGAAGAAAAATACCCAGCTAATCAAGGCAAGCAGCAGGGCTTTGTGGGGATGAGAATAATGGTGGCTATTTGACAGAGAAGCAGAGAGTAGGAAATCAGAGACTTCATTCAACTGTAGTGCAGCTCTGAAAATGAAATTAAGATTTTGGCCCTACCTTGCCTCTTTCTTTAGCAGCTCAATAGTTGGTGGCCTTGAAAGAAAGACAAGAAAAATATATTCTGTGACAATTCTGATTGTGATCATCAACGAACTCATCTAAATTTTGCCCGGGTTTGGTTCTGCAACAAGCTAATAAACAATACTAATCAACTGTAATTTTTAATTCATGAATCAGTTATTCAAATATTATTTATTAGGTTTTGAAATCATTTTTTTAAGGTTGAAACAGTATTAAACATTTACCTGATGTAATGGACCTGAAAAAGTGGGGAACTGATAATTAACATTCAGATTATTAAAATGACACAAATTGTAGATGCAATCTAATACATATATATACAGCAGTAAAGTTGCTTAATAATCAATAGGCTTATTCCCTAACATGCATGCTTAGGATTGTAGCCTGAAATTTAGGCTTAAAACAGTTCTCTAGAAACTACTAATACTTCTAATGTTCCAAACTTCTCACATCTCTTATCTGTGGTCTGTCCTGGCCATCTGTTCACTAAAGTTGACTCGTTGCATCCCAAATCATCAAAGACTTGGAAGGACCCACCCTTTCACTCAAGACGAGAATACCATTAAGCTGTCTCCAACAGATCGCTATCTAGGCCAGGGGTCTCCAACCTTGACAACTTTATGACTTGTGGACTTCAATCCCCGGAATTCCCAGCATGCACTGGCTGAGGAATTCTGGGAGTTGAAGTCCACAAGTCGTAACGTTGCCAAGGTTGGAGATCCCTGATCTAGGCTTCCCATGATCAGAACCAATTAGAGGTCCGTCATCTCTTTGGTTGATTTTATTTATTCCATCAAATTTACAAAGCTGTCCCAGCCAATCAACTTTGGATGCTTACAATAAAATTAAAGAACAAAATGGCATGAACCAATAAATCTACAAAAGCCAAAAACATCTGGGGAAAGAGAAGACCTGGAGAAAGAGCCAGATCTTCAAAATTCAGTGAAAGGATACAGGTTGAAGGACAATATGAACCTCTGAGGAGATGCCATTCCAGGAGGCAGGCACCATGACAGAGAAGGAGGGCCACCTGAGACCATTAGATGACACTACAGATAGTCCTCATTTTACAACTGTTCTGTATAACAGCCATTAAAAATAATGATGGACCCGAAAATGTAACCTCATGACTGATCTTTACACTTTCGCCTGGTGCAGTGGTTTTGTTGTCAGGTGATTAAAATGTGGGCATGTACGACTGTCACAGTATTCTGCAGTTACGTGACCACCATTTGCAAGCTGGCTTTCCAGTAGCAAGTCAATGGAAAATCTGACACTGAAATTGCAACTTGCAGTAATATATTCTCAATCAACAACCATGCTTAGCAGCGGAGTTACTGGTCCCAATTGTGATCATACAGGTAGTCCTTGACTTATGACCACAATTGAGCCCATAGTAATTTCTGTTGCTAAGTGAGAAATTTGTGAGTTTTGCCCCATTTTACGATTTTTCTTGCCACGTTTCTTAAGTGAATCACTGCAGTTGTTAATTTAGCAACACCGTTGTTAAGTGAATCTGGCTTCCCCACTGACTTTGCTTGCCGGAAGGTTGCAAAAAGGGATCACATGACCCCAGGACACTGCAACGGTCATAAATATGAGCCAGTTGCCAAGCATTCTAATCTTGATCATGTGATCCTAAGGATGCTGCAATGTTCTAAGTGGGGAAAATAATCATGTCATTTTTTTTCCAGTGCCGTTGTAACTTCAAACGGTCACTAAATGGACTGTTGTAAGTCAAGGACTATCTGTATTTTGAAATTGGGATCTGAAACATGCCTACTCTGGGAAAAATGAAACATCAGGTAACAGACTATATGCTGGTTATATATCACAACCAGTGTTCTGAATTGCACCCAGAAGCTCACCTTGGTAACCAATGCATCTTGTGTAATACAGTAGAGGAATCATAGGTTTACCAAGGCTTGAACATAAAGGCCCCCTATAGCTAGGTACCGCTTCCAAGTGCTTTTCAAGGGAAGTCCCTTGCAGAGAGTGATTTGCAATGTGAAGTGATTAAGACATGAATGACTATGAGAAGGGAATTCTGTCAAGCAAGGATTAAATCAGCATATCAGGTTAATCTAGGCAAAGGTCCTTCTGCCTTAGATCTATCAACATTCTTCGGGAGTGATAGAGGGGGGGGGGAAGTAGGTAGTAGAGGGGTATGTAAGAAGGAAGAATGAAAGTTGGAGGGGGTTGAAAGAGGGTGTATGGTGGGCCAAGGAGGTATATTGGGCTTGTATTGTAGAGGGCATTTTCTATAGAAGTGAGGGCTGTGTTTATTATTCAATGTTATATGCCCCGGTTATGCACAGTAAACATGTGATTGTATAGAATGGAATGGAAATAAAAACTTAAAAGCAAAAGCAACATTCTTCAATGTATGAAGGAGGGAAGTGAACCTTTTAAGAAATACATAGCTTCTGAATATTATGATTATCTTGAAATATTTCTGGAACAGTCTAATTGAAATAGATTTTTTCTCTTCTTCGAACTTTAAATTAAAAATATAATTGTTCCAACTGCATAGGTGTCTAGAAAAAAATTAATTATTTTTAATGTATTATCTTTGTTTTTTTGCTATAGAATGGATTTTGAGTTCTATTCATTAAATCCACATGGCTTTATTTCTTGGTAACAGTTATACGTTATGAGACATTGACACCCAGTGGATACTGGGTTAGTTGCAAGTCATAATTTTTTAGTGTAGTCATAACCCTGTTCTTATATTTTTGGACAGTTTCCTTTGATGTCTTGATCTTGTTTGCTATAAACTGAATCCAAATCAGGGGCATTTAGTGCTACAGGCAAAGCACACTATTCAGCTATATTATTTACATGAAAGGGAAAATAAAGAGCAACAGGAAACATAAAAAGAGAATTCCTAATGGAACAAATATCTAGATCCCTACATCCCCTTTAAAATTATACGAATTATTATATATAATAAATGCTGCTTGTGGAAGCATGTTAAAGATGGCAGTCCTTGTTTGGTATCATCACTAAAATTAGAACAAGTAGTCCAATAAGATTAGGCAAGATAATCCCATTTTCAGGTGAAAAGGTCTTAGGACAGTGCTGACTAACATTTCCCTGATCACTGTTGATAACAAATAGTAAAACTACCATATTTTTCGGACTATAAGAGGCACCGCAGTTTAAGGCACACCAAGATTTTGAAGAGGAAAACAAGAAAAAATATAGTTTTTGCCCTCCCCAGCCCCCAGGAACACTCTGCAGGCCTCCCAAACTCTCTGCATGCTCTGTTTTTGTGAAAAACAGGCCAATTTCTGGTGAAAAAGGGACCCACAAGGAGGGGTTTTGGAAGGCCAAAATGGCCATATTCAGTATATAAGACACACCGACATCTCCACCTTCTTTTTTTTGGGGGGGGGTGTCTCTTATACTCCAAAATGCATGGTACTTTACAGTTCTCTGCATCCTTGGAGAACATTTCTCCCTTGCCTTTTTAATTACGATTAGGCTGATCACCAATACTTAAAATGGGTCCTTCCCATCTGTACCTAATCACAGTACAAACATCCCCTGATTATATAATTTTTCTGCTTTGTTTTCATAACATTGCCTTCATTTTGTTTTCAGTCCATGAATAAGAAATGCTTAAAATGATCCTTAGATGTACCAATGGTAAATATTAATAGTAGTATTTTCCCCTATCCAGGACAGGCTGAAGATGTATACAATCTGCTAAACCTTGGAGAAAAGCCAATTAATAATCTAAAACAAAAGCAATCAATCTAGGATATGGATTGACAAACCATTAAACAGCAGTCTGCTTAGGCATAATCAGGGGATGCCTTTGTTCAGCCTATAACTGGTATGCCAGTTATAATCCTGGCATATGAGCAGAGGTGGCGCAGTGGTTAAATGCAGCACTGCAGGCTACTTCAGCTGACTGCAGTTCTGCAGTTCGGCTGTTCAAATCTCACCGGCTCAAGGTTGACTCAGCCTTCCATCCTTCCGAGGTGGGTAAAATGAGAACCCGGATTGCTGTTGGGGGCAATATGCTGACTCTGTAAACAGCTTAGAGAGGGCTGAAAGCCCTATGAAGCGGTATATAAGTCTAACTGCTATTGCTATTGCTACCCTAACCAGACCAGGATGCTTTGGAAACTGTACTTCATTGAGCATTGCTCAGTTCAAGTTTCAGGTCTGGGAAAGGAATGAGTGGGTTCATATATCATGTTTCTTAGTAAGTCAGTCTGAATTCACACAACATGCTAAATGAGATCCAATTATGGCTTAAAGTGAGGTAAATCTCTGTTAGGAAGCCTGGAAGATTTCTGTCAGACAGACAAGTACTAGATACTAGTGAAATCCATAACATAATCTGATTTGTCATAAAGCAAATTCAGGGGACTTTTTAAAGTGTCATATAATATGAATTTATATGGATCTCCTATTTAAACATAAACATACCTGCTATCAATAGGACACATTTTTATTAAATAATATGGATTATATTCTTTGACAAATAAAAACTGTTTTTTTCTTATGTTCCTGGTTTTCTTCTATTAACATCCATCAGCATCTGTTTTTCCCCATTAACAACAGTCCAGGACATCAAATTTTATAACAGAAAATCCCTAACATTAAAAAGCAGCAGTTGGCCTGAAGAAACAAAAAATTCTAACATACATATTGGTCAGATAAGACAATCTTTACAAATAGTGCATGATCTTTTCTATTTCTAAGAAATCAGAGGAAGAAATATGAGTTGTCTAAGTACCTTTCTTCTTCTCGAAGCCACACTGGAGTTTTGGATATTTGGCCCTCGAAATATTTTGATGCTTTGTAACAAAAATTGCTGCAAAAACGCTGCTCCCCACAGAAAGAATAAAGAACAACAGTTATTTCTTTAATATAACAAAATAGAGATGGTGCAAACTTAAATTGAAAGGTGGATACAAAGACTGAATTACCTTTCTCTCGGTAATATCGTATACTTTATTTGTTTTTGTGGAAATTTTATACTTTTGTTTTGGCACCTTAAAAGTAAGAAATGGAATGAAGTTAATTGATTAACATAGTTCATTAACTTAGCTAGCTCAGCATTCTTCTCTTTCAAGTAATATATTTATCCCAGTTTAAAAAAACCACTATGCTACCTCATTCAATTACTTGTATTAACTTTAGGCACTCTCTCCCTCACTTATCTTTTTTCTTTATGGTACTGTATTTTTCTGCTGCCTGTATCAGACTGACTGTCTCATTATCTGTATCTAACTTTTTACTATGCATGTGAAGCATATTATGAGCTAAAGGGTCTACAGAGATTTTCAGTCATCCAGGTCATGGTTGTCCCAAAGGTGTTTTTAAGGCGGCAACTGGACTTTCCTGTTTTTCTTTGAAGATGCTTCGCTTCTCACCCAAGAACCATACAGTCAGAGCTGAAGAAGCTTCTTGAATGAGAAGCAACACATCTTCAAAGAAAAAACAAGAATGTCCAGTTGCCTCCTGAAAAAAAGCAGCTTTGGGACATATTATGAGCTACTAAATCAATGCCAAGCATCTCAAAATGAATCAGTGGGAAGACAGCATCCTTCAGGAATAATATTACTAGTGTGTTGCATGAAAATTTTTCTTCTGTCCTAGAGATTCTTTCATTTAATTAAACAGGAGTAAGATTTTCTAAAGTGCATCTTGTAAAGAGATTGACTCAGAATAGATTACAGGGGATAAAGGAAACTTCTGAAGCTGCTGCTGCTCTTTTCGTTCTTTCTTCGCATGGATTTAATGAGAGGGAAAGAAAAGTTTGCTCTCTTTTCAGTTAACAATGATCTAGTATAATATCTAAACCCTGGAGCATTCTGTTGCTGCTGAAATAAAGCGCCTTAATAACCACAGTTGCTGAGAGTTGTACTTCATTGGTTTCCCATCTCTGAATTGCAATTGTTCTTCACTCTGATTCTGTAAAATAATCTAGCTTCATAAATGACTAAAGTTTGTTTATTGTGCTAATTGAAAAGGAAAAACAGAAATAATAAGTAGATGTCATTACCAAATTGGAAACTTTAAAAATGGCAAAAATATATGTCTCTTGTTGAATTTAAATTATGTGCAACATGGAGCTGTAATTCAATGGTAGGACACTCAAATCCAATCCCAGGCATATCTACTTAGGAAAAGTTTCTTCCTGAAATCCGGGAAACTTGCTGCTAAAACGTAGACATTGTTGGTCTAAATCAGGGCTGTCAAACTCCTGGCCCACGGGACGAGTGCATCATGCGCTGTCCAGCCCACGCTTGGTTTAGCAAAGGGTAAAATGTCCCAATACATCCCGTGACGCCGCTGTGACGACTTCAGTTTGACACCTCTGGTCTAGATGGTGCAATGACCTAACTTCATCACTGGATTCATACAACCGAAGAAGCTATAATGTGGTTTTGCTGTTTAAGCCTCAGCATGACATGGAAATCCAACCAACCAGAGATTATGTAACAATCCCGATTAAAATCATAACACAATGCCTGAACCCTTGTGGATTCTACAAAATGACTGTGCATTATATGCATTTGAATAACATCAAACCATTTGGAGCCAAAGATGCTGGGCCCCTCTTTCTTCCAGTCAATTTAATTAAATTAAATTTGGGGCAATCCTAATCTCTACATAGAGAAAAGTGTGAGAGAGTGAATTTCAATTGATCTCATTTAACCAAAATAGGCAAAAGACTAGTGTGAGACAATTCCCTGGAAGCGATACATTCTGAATGAAAAATGGTAAGAGCACACACACCCCGCGCATAAACTCTTACATTCTGTAGCCTATTTTGACAGAGAGGATAGCCACATAGCTTGATGATAAATCGTTCTTCCACCACATCCAGATAGTGAGAAGGTGTTATAAGCCTCCCCTGAAATGACAAAACCAAGAGGATTCTGTTAAAATTATTTTCATCTGGTAATAAAGGCAAAGTTTTTAGACACTCTAAAAACCAAGGGGATATTTAATATAGCACCATGGTTCTAATGTTTTCAATAGCCAAAATTCAGTTGACAAACCCCCAAAATTTCAGTCTTACTTTAAAAAAAAAAGAATACAAATTTAAGTTAAGGCATTAGGCCCCCCACAGAGAAAAAATATGGCTCAAATCTTCTCACATGAAAACAGAGAGAGGAATTCCCCTCTTGCTTTCTCCAATGACATTTTTATATTTCCTCCTGTAACTTTCAGATGTAGAAAAAGTTTTCTAAAAACACAAGACTTGTTCACAAAAAAACAAGTGGAATGGTCTCATCCATTTTGTTTTACTAGCATGAACGAACTTGAGGCTTGCTTAACCAACTACTGGTAAAAATCTTGCCTTAGAGCAGTGTTTTTCAATCTTTTTTGTGCAAAGGCACACTTTTTTCATGAAAAAAATCA